CCGAAACCATCCAAATAATTATTAAAATTAAGTTGAATTGAGGTGTTTAGTCCCGTTTCATCTTCAAGCGAAATTTTAAGAATAAGCTATCTCTCGGTTTACGTGTGTTTTTAGGCATGGTCCGTTACAGAATTCGTTATTGTGGGAGTTGTCTTCTTAAAAATAAAAACAAAAATACTAAGGAACCCCGGATTATGCACCCAACGTGTTCTTTTCTATTTTCTGCATACCTACGCACTTATACACACACACACACACACACACACACACACACACACACACACACACACATACATATATATATATATATATATATATATATATATATATATTAAGTATTTCACCCCCAGCAAGGCAGGTGTGCCACTAGCACGGAGTAGGTTACGGAGTGTGAAAGTGAAAGATTGGGCGTAGAGGGGATTGACTAATGGAAAAAAGGAGAGGGATCAAGGAAACTGAAGATGGCGATTGATGTTGCATTTAAATGTATTGTACGGTTTTATAAGGTAAAAATGCATTGCTGGTATTTTTCCTATTAAAATGAATTTTCATAATTTTATAGTTTTTGTTTCAGTGATAGGGGTTCATTATTTTCCCATAGCTAAGACCCTAACAGGTGCTACGGTCTCTCGTCAGTTGGACCTGGGAACAACTGCAATTAAGAAGTGGTTCCACACTCTTTAAACCTTTCAATGGTCACACTCGGTACCACCCCCGTGTCTTAGTGGCTTTACTGCCTTGCATGAGGTGAAATGATTAGTAAACAAATTTAAATGCAATGTCAATCGTTATCTATTGTCTTCTTGATTACTCTTCTATTGTTTTCTCTCCTTAATAATATTTATCTTTTTTCTTATTCTTTCACACTCAGTAATTTCTTATGTCTTTGTGGCTTTGTTAACTTGTGTGGGGTGAAATTAGAAAACAAATTTAAATGCAATGTCAATCGTTATCTATTGTCTTCTTGATTCCTCATTTATTGTTCTTGCTCCTTAATAATGTTTCTCTTTTTTCTTATTCTTTCACACTCAGTTACCCGCTTATGACTTAGTGGCTTTCTTACCTTGTGTGGGGTTAAATGATAAGTAAAAATGTACGAGTTTTTTTTTGTAGTTTCTTAGATCAAAGTTAAGGGTTGCGTATTATACACAAGTTCGTACGAATAATTACAGGACTTATCAATGTCTGCGTGTCCGTCCGCTTCCCATTCTTTCTCTCTCATGTCGACCCACTTTTATGTTCTGCCTTACTCTCCTTTAATCTGCCTTGCTCTCCTGTCTCTTTACTCAAGCCAATCTTCATTCCTACTCGAGTCGTTGCTCTCCGCCTCCCCAGGGACATCTTTCGACGCCTTAGGCGATTCTCGTAATATAATGGCCATTGTAATTATGACTGGCGGTAAAAGGCGGCGTTGTCCGTAGTCTTAATCAAGATAGAAAGAAGCGGCAAGGTGCACTTCTGAATGATGCAGACACTTGGTCAGTTAGCGCTACTAACAATGCTACAATGCCTGTTAGAAAAGTCAGTTACACTTGTAGCCTTAACCCTTTCCCCCTAATTTCCCAACACCCTAATTCCACCGGTCTCTTCTACTGATGGTGCCTTGTACTAATCCCCAAAGTACAAATCAGACAAACAAAAGGGATACTTACGCCATACTATAAAGAAAGATCTGTAATGTAATCGATCCTGACAAAGGCATCGCGACGTGTCATTTTCTCACCGATGTAATATGGCTTCCCTCTGTCTTTTCTACAAATATTTCCATGGCGACTCTCTAACGAGCCTTTTCTCTCCTGATGACTCGACTACATGAAATTTTAGCGGGCTACAAGATTAGTATCTAAGCCCGACCCTTTTACTGTTGAAATACCTAAATGCAACCACCGCTTCTTCTCAAATGGTTTCTTTTGTCGCACTTCTCGCTTGTGGAAATCCCTTCCGTTTACTTGCTTCCCAGATAACTACAATCTTCAAAAATTTAAATGCAACGTCAATCGCCATCTTCTGTCTTTTGAATCTCTTTCATCTTTTGTCCTTCCCACAATCCTCCCTATTCTTATTTTTTTTCTTTCACTTTCACTCACTTTGTCCCGCCCACTACGTATTCCTGCTTTGCTTGGAGTGAAATGATTGAAAAAAAAAATACGTCGGCTGGAGCTTCCCAATCCTTACTTACCAGGTCTTACGCGGCCTTGTGGGTGATTAATTATTTTCCATTCTCCGCTGAACAAAATCATAATCCTCTTGCTACTCTGTCGTTATTTCCATTGAAAATGTCCTGACAGGCTACATTGATTAGACCTACCAGTTCAAACATTTAAAGCTAACACGCCGCCATGCCACGTACATCGTAACGAATCATCCCTATTTCCCCCGTATTTCTTTAGTAAGAAAATAATTAGTCACTCACAGTGCTGCGTAGACCCTTTTGAATATCAAAGTCGGAAAGTGAGGATTGAGCAGCTCCAATCGACGTATTTTTATATTATTTCACCCCAAGCAAAGCAATAATGCTACTAAGACGCAAATGGTTACCGAGTGTTAGAGAATATGAGGAATTATGCTATCATGGAAAGAGAACAATAAAAGAACAAGAATTAAGAAGACGGAAGTTAATGATTAAGATTACATTTAAAATTTTGAAGATCAAAGGCAATAAAGCCACTAGGATGCAAGGAGTTACTGAGTGTTAGAGAATATGAGAAAAACTACTATTAAGGAGAGAGGACAATAAAAAACAAAAATTAAGAAGACAGAAAATAACGATTGACATTGAATTTAAATGTTTGAAGATCAAAGTTAACTGGGGAAACACAATCCGGAAGAGAGGTCCACAAAGAAGAAGTGCGATAGAAAAACTGTTAGCATAGAATTTGCGGTTACCATTCCAACTATAAATAGGCGAGACCTTGTCGCCAATCTAGTACTGCGTTTAAATTCATAAAATCTAGGAACCATAGTGGAAATCTCATCAAAATAATTGCAATGAAATATTTATAGGAAAGGCCCAGCAAAGCTGCATCATTGCGGTGACAGAAGCCAAGATGGCAGGTCAGAACCAATAACATTGTAAATTCTTCTTTGGGCTTTATTAAGAATCTCTAATTATATAGTAGGAGCAACAGACCAGAAGAGGCACAGGGAAGCTATGCCATGGCGATAGGGAAGTGACAAGCATAAATGGACTATCCCACTTTAGCACAAAGTGGGATAGTCCATTGCTTGGGCTGTGATTGGCTGCTGGTACCTGAGTTGAGGTATTTCTATATAAATACCAGCTTGATTCATCAGTTAGTTTGCAGGGTTTGTATTAAGTTACAACCTGCTTTGTTTTTGTCTGCCAGCTGGACGCTAGCTGGGACCCTTACGCCGGTAAGTGCTGTTTATTGTATTGTTATTCTACAATAGTTAGTCTTTTCTTCTCACTTTCCTTTTATTTCAACTAAAATATCAATAAAACAATTGCCAGATTGTAGAATCACGAAATAGGACGTTCTATAAAGAGTTATTCCTCTTCTTTTTACCTCAAACAAATTGGGATTTTTTTTTGTTTGTTTTTTTTTTTGTTTTTGTTTGTTTGTTTTTTTTTACCATCATTAAATAACAGCATGATTATGTTTTTCGGGATCACTTTCTCTTTTCAAAGACTTTTGATACAATTTCAATTCACAGTGTAGATATCTCTATAAACGATAGTCGCCTGCCATATCAAGAGTGAGTTAAAGAGAAAACAATTTTCTGATGTACGTCTCATCTAGCCAACCCGAACAAAATTAGTCATCACACTTACCACTCCCTCCTCTTTCTTGATGATTTTCGCCAACATCTGGACACTGCCTGTCTAGCATAAGTCCGGCGACAGTCACAAGAGGCAGGCGTTGTCCGACGGGATTCCTCCGGACATTGGTGGACACATGTGCGTTCGAGTGACCATCGCCCGAACCAAGTGCACCATTTAGTGTGATTGAGACGATAATTAATGGCCTTTGCAAGGCGATAAAAATCACTAAAGAGAGAAAAGTGTCCGGCAGTGCTTTCCTTAGCTTTTAGTAGCCACACTGGTTTCACTGCTTCTAAGAAAAACTATTTCACCTCACGATGACAATTGAGATGAGAAGTAAACCCTGCACCCTTCTCTTTGCTGTGGTTGGTAATTTTAAATACTACTTCTTCTGTGGTTGGCATGGTTTGATGGTGGCTAGTTTTGCGGTAAGGGGCGAAAGAAAGCAATTATGGGCATACGGAACGGGAATCTGACTTTGAAGACATGGATGAATCGGTAATCGTTTCTTATAGGAACGAGAAGGATTTTATGTGCCTTCTGGACGTGGCCGATGATGGCTCTCCGCGCCTTCTGTTTACATCAGCTAGGTAGGCTAACATTTACGGTTAAAGTCGACCATCCCGCGCACATTGTAGCGAATCACCTTCATTAGCATCTTTGATTTACGGCCATATCACGTTGAAACACCGGCTCTAGTATGATCACTTAAGAAATGTCAAGCCTGGTCAATACCTAGATGGGTGATCGCTTGAGATTATCAGGAGCTGTCTGCTTGGATGTGCAGGTGGTGTAATTGATAATGTCTTGGAATTTTAATATGAGATCAGAGTTCCAATTAAACTTAGGTTCGTTATATTCGCATAAGCTCAAATACCTTTAAGAAAGCTATGAATCTATATTTTCTCAGCCAGTTATATGTTATTTAGTAAAACTTATGTCACCAAGTCATTATTATCTAAAAAACTTCTTAAAATCTAAAAATAATTTCTGGCTTTAAATAACTTGTAAATTGTTAATAAACCAAAGGTAACGACTCAATCATTTCCTTTGTACTCCAGCTGCTTTTTGGAACCGACTCCCAAAAGGATGCTTCCCCTATCACAACAATCTTAACCTATTCAAGTCTACTATTAACCATTATCCTCTCACATATTCCCATAATCTTACTATGCAACACTCTATCTGGAAAGGCTCCCAGGCCTTATACAGGGTGTGCATCATTATATAACAAAAATGGCATTAGTGAAATCTAAGTTCCACCCGAACAGATTCTTCCCACGAACAGCTGATTTTTGGAACTGGCTCCCAAGGGGATGCTTCCCCGATCACGATAAGCGTGACCTATTCAAGTCTAGGGTTAACCGTTATCTTCCCCACATATCCGCATAGACTGTGCGTTTTACTCTGTACGAATATCGCCATAAAAGTGCCATTTTTAAGAACGACCTAGTCATATTATAATTGGGCTTGTCCTTAATTCATTAGCTCGCACGACCATTACGTCCTGCCAATACCTCATAAATAATGGACTATTCAGTTTTGATCACGTGGGAAGAGTGGAAAATTCACGACTTGCTTTCAAGGAATGAACGACAGAAAGAAATAAAGACAGATAAACAGAAAGAAAGAAAGAATGGAGGATATAAATTTTTAACGGCTTTTTCAGTGAAATGGAAAAAGTTATCGTTTTCAAATCTTTTCATTTGTATCCCCTTACTTCTTAAAATAACGAACAGCTTTCATATTTATGATTGTTATTTGAATATTTTGTTGAAGTTGTTAAGCTCAAATATTTAACTTTGCGATAACTTAGACTATATATATATATATATATATATATATATATATATATATATATATATAGCTTATGCATTATCTATCTATCTATTTATCGTGTGTGTTTGGATTTGTGTGCTATGAAGCTGTTCGCGAAAGTTTCTGATGATTTCAGGAAATAACGAAATTATTTATTCCAGAAGATAGTTTTCATCACTTACTTCAAAGTAGTTTTATATTTAAATATGTTATTTTTAATTTATTTTCTTTAAATGTTAAATAACACTATATCGGATTTGATCATTTATTTCGTGAACATCTCTGTATAGTCATCTATTTAGAGCAAAAGCTTTTAATAAATGGAGTTAATTTAATTTAATAATGAAATGGAGCATTTAGGCGTGAAGAGTTGAATATATATATATATATATATATATATATATATATATATATATGCACGAAATAAATTATAACCAAAATGAATATTTATGGTTTACTGCTTTCTATTATTATTATGCTCTGTCGTTTACATTGAGCTCTCCCTGGTTTCATTATTTGCCCCTAATTACTACACTTCCAAGCAAACATATACAACAGTATCAAGAAATATATATATATATAAAATTATTTCATAATTTGTATGGATAACTGGAAAGAGGATATAAATCCGAAGAGAGATCAATGTAAGAAAAAAGCAAAATAGATGATGATCTATCTATCTATCTATCTATCTATCTATCTATCTATCTATCTCACTCTGACCATTATCTCTCTCTTTCTCTCTATCTATCTCATTCTGACCAGTATCTATCTATCTATCTATCTATCTATCTATCTATCTATCTATCTATCGCAGTTCGTTCTTCTCTATCTATCGCAGTCTGTTTATATCTAGCTATCTAACTGTGATTCTATCTATCTATCTATCTATCTATCTATCTATCTATTTCACACCGGCATATATACAGACAATTTGACCTCACGAAATAAAATATTAGCATGAATTTCTAAAGTATCCGCGTTCATCACTATATATATATATATATATATATATATATATATATATATATATATATGTGTGTGTATATCTATAATGTATGTATCTCACGTTGTATATTATCTCTCTCTCTCTTGCTATCTATATCAGGCTATTGATATCTATCTATCTATTTATTTCACATCCACATATACATATATATTTGATCTCGTGAAATATTAGCATGGGTTTCTAAAGTATCCAGTTCATCTTCATATATATATATATATATATATATATATATATATATATATATATATATGTGTGTGTGTGTGTGTGTGTGTGTGCGTCTGTGTGTGTGTGTGTATAATTTTCATTTTCCAAGAAGGTTACACACTTCTATGGTTTTCAAGAAGTGTTCACACTTTTGAGTTGACAAAGCGAACAAGTCTTGTTGGTAGAATTATCTATTCGAATGAGGTAAATTTGAACTTTTAATATATGTAATTTATATGCTCTGTTATAATAAATATATTGAGCACAACGTTTGATACAGCGTTAATTACGTTATATATATATATATATATATATATATATATATATATATATATATATATATATATATATATATATATATATATATATATATATATATATATATATTTTTTTTTACTTTAAGGTACCATTATAATAATTTATTTTACTAGAGCCCTTTTAAAATGACGCCGGATCATCAGATAGCATTTCCAACAACTAAATGAAATATTAGCTCTGGATTAACATTGAGCTCTCAGGATTTTATCCTCCTTGGGATTACCCATACGGATTACCAAGTTCTTCATAACTTATATATATCTATATATATATATCTATATCTATATATATATATATATATATATATATATATATATATATATATATATATATATATATATATGCTTATATATATATATAAATGTTTATATATATGTTTATATATAAATATATATATATATATGTATTATATATATATATATGTTTATATATATGTGTTTATATATATATATATATAAAATATATATATATATATATATATATATATATATATATATATATAAACATATATATATATGATGGATATATATTACGTATTACGTTGTATATTATCTATCTCTGTGTATCTATATATCAGTCTCTTCATATCTATCTATCTATCTATCTATCTATCTATCTATAGCAGTCTCTTCAATATCTATCTATCTATCTATCTATCTATTTCTTTCACACCCGCATATGTACAGACAATTTAATCTTTAATTTACAGACAAAATACTCCCATGGATTTCTAAAGTATCCACTTCCTCATTATATATATATATATATATATATATATATATATATATATATGATGGACGTATCTTAGGTTGTATATTATCTATCTCTCTGTCTATCTATATTAGTCAGTTCATATCTATCTATCTCTTTCACACCCGCACATATACAGAATTGTTTCGTTCTGTTTCTCCATTTCTTTCTTCTCGTCACTTTCTCAGATTTGTTTATAGGTCCGTCGTTCATCTTGCTACCCGTCGGATAAACCTTTTCTTTATCCGCGCCATCCACAAAATAACAACACCAGTAATAATAAGAAAGGGTCAATTTCTTCTTGACCCACCGCTCCAGTCCCCAGGCGATCACGTGATGTCTAGCCCGGGAGAAGAAGAAAAAAGAAAAACATCAGGGAAACCCCCTTCAGTGAGACACAGTGGAAGGTGCCTACCTGACACTTACGATCAAACGGTTGGGGGCAGGTGGACAAACGCGTGATACGGGAAAGGTGAATATGCCAGACACGAAGGTGGGAACGTTACAATGGCTGGGAGATCTTGTCATGAATCTCCGATATGGATTGAATAAAGCGTGTAATGTTGACGATGAAAAGGGTGAAAAGAAGAGACATTTGAAGACGACAAACTAAGAAAAAGTCGGGTATCGAGAATAAATTAGCAAGAAATAGGGGTAGATTAAGAGAGGCGAAATTATATAAGTTGAATTAGATACACAAACGACTGAACCTACTTATTACAAAGACACACATGAAGAGATAAAAAGGGTAAAAAAACACTGGCATTGGGAGAGAAATAGAGTTAGAGGTGGGGAAGTGTTTGTGTGTCTGTTTGTTTGCGTGTGTGTCTACGTTTGTGCGTGTGTCTGTGTCATGAGTACGAAGTCGTTGGAGAGAATTTCTGATCATTTCAGTTAAAAAAAAGAAGAAACGGTTTATACAAGAACATATTTTTCACCACTTCCTTCGAAGTAGTCATCTTGTAATCGACACACTATCTTACAATGGTGCTGGCCACTATTCAGAAATACCTTGCATACATACACACACACACACACACACACACACACACACACACACACACACACACATATATATATATATATATAGTTTATGAAAAACTAGGTAATCCGTATAGGTAAACCTAGTGGGGTTAAAATCCAGAGAGCTCAATGTAAATCCAGAGCAAATAATTTAAATAATTTTTTGTTTGGAGTTAAAGTCTGATGATCCGCAGTCCTTCTAAAAAGGGCTGTGGTGAAATAATTATTACATGGAACCTTAAAGTGGTCTGTTTTTTTTTTAAATATATATATATATATATATATATATATATATATATATATATATATATATATACGAATGTGTATATTTTGCATAGATTTATATTATAGAAAACTAATAAAAAAAAAAAATTGAATGCCTATATACACACATACACATACTCACTCACTCACACAAACATATATATATATATATATATATATATATATATATATTAAGACATTTAATAATTTAGACAAATTTTGTCTATTTATTTTTAATAGGATCCTCTCGAATTTCTGACAAGTTTCTTCGTATCCTTATTAAAGAAAGAAAGAAAATTACCATGTTCATGCATATTCATTTTATTCCGAGTACTTTCGACATTAGCATAATGTCGTCATCAGGGTCTTGTTTTTCTACATGATTGAAATCTAAAATTGTACAGTACATAACTTTAGCGTTGTTTTACTCCAGATGTAAAAAATTAATTTTCAGATGAACACAACAATTTTGTCTTAGAAAAATGATGAACGCAACAAATTTTTGTCTGACATTCGCAGGCCGGGAAATCGAATGGATTATTTAGGAAAATTTATTTTTTAGTGGAGATCGATCATTTATTCCCTTTATTATAAAATAGTTTAATACCTTTGATTGCACCTGACTGTTGATGTCAGTTCCATTGTTAAAAAAATAAACAGTGTCTACTCAAATAGTTTCCTAGAGAAATAAACGGAGCGTCTACTTAAATATGAGTATCCACTAAAAATAACATTTAAGTAATAAAATCCGTCGGATTAATATATAAGATTACATATATATATATATATATATTAGTAATTAATCGGAGGATTTGATAAATTTAATTAATTCATCGAGTTTGATAGAAACCTCTAAAGAATGCAGAAAGCACTGGACGGCCGTTTCGTCCTATATTTGGGACTCATCAGCAGTGCAGTGCTTTCTGCATTCTGTAGAGGTTTCTATCAGACTCGATGAATTAATTAAATTTATCAAATCCTCCGATTAATTAGTAATTGTCTTTATCATCGCTTGAACCGGCTTCTAATGCTACAGTAGGTAGCGGCTTTGTGATAGTAGTCGTGGCTCCAGGGGACACAGTCCTATGGTAATAGCGAATCTCAGTCGAGTTCCGCCACGGAATATGTGAGCGAGCGGCGCTTTGTTGAGTCTGATTTGGAATCTCTTCGTCACCGAGGCCCACTTGGGACAGTTGGTATGATGTCAGCTTAACAACCTAACTGTCAGGGTTTCAATTCTCGGTAGTGGATGCGCACTGCTGATGAGTCCCAAATATAGGACGAAACGGCCGTCCAGTGCTTTCTGCATTCTGTAGAGGTTTCTATCAGACTCGATGAATTAATTAAATATGTATATATATATATATATACAGAAAAAAGTAGAAAATTTATATATATATATATATATATCGTATATTTCACAGCAAATTTAATTTAAACAATTTTTTAAAATTCAATTCCATCGATAAGCTCTATTCATTCTTATTTATGAGAACAGACAAATTTAATTAGAAGAAGAAGAAATAAAGAAGAAAATTTTTAAAAGAAATAAGAAGAAGAGGAGAAAGAAGAAGAATTCATTCTTATTGAAGAGAAAAAAAGAACAAAGGGAAAGAGAAGAAGAAAGAAAGAAAAGAAGAAATAAGAAGAAGAAGAAAAAGAAGAAGAAATAAGAAGAAGAAAGAAGAAGAAGAAGAAAGAAATAAGAAGAAGAAGAAAAAGAAGAAGAAGAAGAAATAAGAAGAAGAGGAGAAAGAAGAAGAAGAAAGAAAGAAGAAGAAGAAATAAGAAGAAGAGGAGAAAGAAGAAGAAGAAAGAAAGAAGAAGAAGAAATAAGAAGAAGAGGAGAAAGAAGAAGAAGAAAGAAAGAAGTAGAAGAAGAAGAAATAAGAAGAAGAAGAAAGAAAGAAAGAAAGAAAGAAAGAAAGGAGGAGAAGAAGAATGGTAAATAAATAAATAAAAATAATCAGACATGAAAAATAAAATAGAAAGAAAAATAAATAAATAAAAAGGACGAAAAAGAAGAAAAAATAAAAAAAAAAAAGAAGAAGGAAAGAAAAGAAAAAGAAGCGTAAATAAATAAAAGGACGAAAAAGAGGAGGAAAAGTAGAATAAAAAGAAGAAGGAGGAGGAGGAAAAAGAAGAAAAGGAAGGGTAAATAAATAAAAGGACGAAAAAGAGGAGGAAAAGTAGAATAAAAAAAAGGAGGAGAAAAAAAAAAAAGAAGTAAATAAAAAAAAAACGAAAAAGGAGGAGGATAAAAAAAAAGAAGGAGGAAAAAAGAAAAGAAAAGGAAGGGGTAAATAAATAAAAGGACGAAAAAAGGAGGAAAAAAAAGGAGGAGGAAAAAAAAGAAAAGGAAGGGTAAATAAATAAAAGGACGAAGAAAAGAAGGAAGGAGGAGGAAAAAGAAGAAAAAAGAAGGGTAAATAAATAAAAGGACGAAAAAAGGAGGAAAAGTAGAATAAAGAAGGAGGAGGAGGAAAGGAAAAAGAAGTAAATAAATAAAAAAAGGAAGAATAAAAAGGAGGAGGAGGAAAAAGAAGAAAAGGAAGCGTAAATAAATAAATAAATAAATAAATAAATAAATAAAAAGTACTCACACATGTAAAAGAAGAAGACGAAGTAGAAAAAGAAGAGGAAGAAAAAGAAAAAGAAGAAAATGAAGATAGCGAAGAAGAAGAAAAAGAAAGAAGAAGAGGAGAAAGAAGAAGGAGCGTAAATAAATAAATAAAAAGTAGCCTCACATGAAAAAGAATAATAATAATAATAATAATAAGCAAAAGAATAATAAGAAGAAATTTAAATAAATAAAAAGTAGCCACACATTAAAAAAGAAATCTTCAGTGCGTCCTTAGCTTTAATTTCCGATTGAAGGTTTCCATTTGTGAGAAAATTTCTCACATGAATTGGATTACCCATTTTCTCCGACACATGATAACTTGCCAACCATATGTACAATCGGTTGCTTTATTTTATTAAGCTACAAAACACAAGTTTGAGCAGACACAGACACCTCTGCATTAGGCTTTCTAAGGAGTAAAAAAGATTCCGGATGCCAGTTCTTTAAAACATATATTTATACAAGGCAGATCATAGCCCGATATAATACTTGTAAAATCGGGGTTATATATGCTATTTCAAGATTAATTCTTAAAACGTTCATAAAGAAAATTTACTGGTCAGTTTTAAGAAGAAGATGAAGTTTTTAAGCTCTGATTTCTACGACTATATATTAACGTTTCTGATCAAACCAAATTCATGAATAATTATATTGGACATACGACCACATGCTTATCAAGAAGACTCACATTACACTTTTCTGATCATAGCTTAATTAGATCTTATTTAAACACACGCGGAGGCGTACCAAACTATATGCGCAACATACTTGTGAAAACTACAAGTATAAATGCCTCAGCTACATGTAAAAAGGCGGAAGATAATGAAGGCACTAATAATAAAAAAGAAAGAGCCAATAAACGATGACGTATGAACACGGACACAATTTGCTGACAGTGTTTGGAAAATTAAAAAAAAATTCTGATCAATCTAGATGCATAAAGCAATACAGTTAAAATAAAACAAATAAAAAAGACATCCTTGATAATGGTTAAAAGAATAGCCGAAATCGCTCGGATATAGAAACATTTGTAAACATTTTTACGCATTTTGTGTTCAGAAGAGAAAAGACTTATACAAAACACAAGAAAAATTCAAATAAAAAGCTTATCAGTTGTCTTTGATTAAACTTTTTATAAAAGTAATATATATATATATATATATATATATATATATATATATATATATGTTAAAATTATTATTTTAAATATGTATTCAGAACGACATAGAAATTACCATGTTTCGAAACCAAGACCTAATCTAACTTAAAATTTAATGTTTATCTTTCATTTTCAAGTGATGCTGAATAAGTTTCGAAAAACAACTTGTTTTGAAAGTTATATAGCTTTAGGTTAATTTTAAGATTCAGTTTTTGGTTTCGAAACCTGGTAATTTCTCTGTTGCGATGAATACATATTTTTAAATAATTAATTTATTTATTATATACTCTACTGTGTATCGAGCGCTGTTTTTGAAATAATTGCTAAATAACTCTGGATTACAAATATGATTGTTCTTTCTTTCATTATATATATATATATATATATATATAT